TATTTCTTTCAGCTCCACAATTCTAAGTATTATATATGCCCCTTGTTGCCTCTCCCCCAATATGATTTTCCCTAGGACAGGTAACCTTTTTCAACAAAAAGTGGTTCCGAATATTTTAGGTTTATGAAGACCAGAATTTTCAAAATGTCTGATAATTTAAGTAACAGGTTTATAGTATGTTATTCATTTGTGTTTTTCAAGAGTGCCATTTATGATTTCTTTACTTTCAAGGGGAAGAAAAATATGCATCACAAAGCTTAAGCGAGAATTGGTGGTAAGTTTTTCTAATGGCCACTGACAGAGGCCATTTTCTGAAAGTTTTCCTGAAAGTACGGATTGCTGGCAATGCTCCATTTAAGAGGTTTTTTTTTTTTTTTTTTCAGTTTTCATGATTCAATTAGACAAATAATGTTCTTCTCTTCTATCTGAATATATATTATATATGAATATACATATATTATATAAAATATAATACATATTCATTCAAAAGTATATATTTTTTCTTTCCTCTAATGTAAAATATTTAACACCTTGAAAGATACCATCTTTAGTGTATAGGTAACTGAGGGCTTTCTTTAATGGTCAATTATTTAAAAGTCTCACATAATTTATATAATCTACACTAAAATGTATTGTTAGAACTAGGCTATAGTTCTTGGTATTATATATAGAAAAGAAAAAATTCTGGATAATTAAAACTATTAATCCTTATGGATATAAAACAAAAATGCTTTTTCAAATGTACTTAGAAAAAAAATCACACAGGAAAGTTAAGATTTTATACAACTATTTTAATAAAACATTTGAATAAATTTGTGTTAAACTCAGTAAGTTTCATATTCCCATGACTTGCTTCCCTAACCTCCTAAAAATTACCTTGTTATACATAAAACAGAGCATTTAGTAAAATAAATAATACACCAGCACATCAAACTTACAGAAACTCTGGCATCCATTTACCATGCAAGTACAATAAGTTGTAATTTCATCCAAATACCACATCAGGTATGAAATAATCATTAAACTTCACTACATTAAAAAAAAATTCAAAGATAACCTGGCAAAAATGATTTATTTAAACACAGTATAATCTTATTTTAAGAAAACATAAATTCATAGTAATGAGAGCAAATCACACATAAATGTTTGAACTGAGCATTAGAATTCACAAATTAATATCTTCAGCTAATTTGAATTAATGAAGTACTAAATACTATATTGAACAAGAGAGAATATCATTATACGCTAAATCCAAACATGGAAAATAACTCTAACATAAAAACAAGCAAGACTTTTTGTTGTTGTCGTTTCTTGTTTTTTTTTTGGGAAAAGAAGCTCCAACACAATTAAATAATACATTTCTACATTTTCTGTAGTTTTTCTTCCCCCCAAATCATCATGTTTCCATTAGCTTGCTAGTAAATCCTACAGAGTTGTCAATTTATCCATCACCATCTCTCTCTGAGCTTCAAATATAGAAAATCTGAAGAGTTCAAAGCAGTTAGAAAAGCAGCGCGTTGACAAAGAATGCCACTTGAGATTTTTTTTTTTTTTTTTTAGTCCTACTTCCTAAAAAGTCAACAGGTCAAAATTACTCTCAGCTGGATGCAAGGATCTTTGGAAAAGGAAAGGATGTTTTCCCTGCCTCAATCAGCAGACTTAAAATGCTCCTGATCCACAGTGGGATAGATGTGGCCCTCGACCGTCAGACACTCAATCGCTTCCTTGATGGCCTTGAGGCTAAGGTCGCAGAGCTGAGCCTGGAGCTCATAGATGCTCTTCCCTTCCTGTTGAGGACACTCATGAATCAAACGCAGCACTTCGTCCCGGATGAAACTGCGGTGACTCTCATCGTTATCCCCAGCATCATCCACTTCTGATGGAAACACATGCACACTTTCTACAGTGGTATCACGACGGGCTTTATCCAGCATCATGTGTGCATTGACCGTTTCCAGAATATGCACAGTGAACTCGTTCATGTCCTCTAGGACATGAATTTTCAATACCTCAAGGGTCTTTGTTCCCGTGGGACATTTGAGGATACCAAACACTTTGACATATGCTCCGACTGACAGTGGAGTCAGTTGCTTGACTTTTTCTCTACCAAACCACTGTCGGGCCTCGATTGGTTTCGCGGTCATATCATCAATTTTGTAACAAATGTGATTTGAAGCCTTCTCTGCCCCTCTGATTACCCCCACGATGGAGACCTGGGAAACTATAATTCCCCTAACCTTGAACACAGTGTCAAACACAGTAGAGCTGAGAAGCTGGTTCACATTACACGGTACAACGTCCTGAATTCGGACCTTAGGTCTTTGGGTCTTAATAGCAGGAGCTGCTTCTCTCTCACACAGTTGGTCACTGCCTCCACTCCCTCCATCAGCAGCAGAAATGCTGCCATAGCTCCCAAACCCACTGTTACTCATCTTCAAGACAGTTCAGGCCGAGGAGAAGGTGGGCTTTGACTCGTCTGGGGCTCCACGGACAGCTTTGAGTTCTCCACAGAAGGCTTTGAGCTCTCCACAGAAGGCTTCAAGCTGTCTGAAAGGCTACGATTGAATGCTGGGAGCCTGAGGACGTGACAAGCTTCACGCTACCCGTGGACCAATCAGCTACCAGAATGTGTCTGCTTCCAGCCAGTCAGGGTCGGCCACCTTCTCACCTGACGGCATAATCCTTCCCTGTGTGTCAGTGGTTGCTACATTCTAAAAGCCCCACACGAGGGGAGCCCTGTTGCTTAGCTGGTCAAAGCGCCTGTCTAGTAAAAGTCCCACGTGTAATTTCAAGCAAGCCTTTCCCAACATCTCTATAAAAATGCATTTTTACTAGTCCCCCTCTTCATTTCTTAAAGCTACAACTTCTACAATTACTTTTAAAAGACTCATTTATTCATTCATTCAAACAACAATGCAACAGAAATTTTAGGAGCATGAAGCGCTTGCCAAAACAGTAGAGTGCTGTACGTTATGTGCAGGGGGAAAAATGCACCACCGTGCTTACTGTTCTCAAGAATTCACGTCCCCCGTTCATTCAAACCGTTAAAACCAGGAGTATTGGGCCGGGTGCAGTGGCTCACGCCTGTAATCCCAGAACTTTGGGAGGCCGAGGCAGATGGAGTACTTGAGGTCAGGAGTTCAAGACCAGCCTGTCAACGTGGTGAAACCCCGTCTCTACTAAAAATACAAAAATTAGGCAGGCGAGGTGGTGCACACTTGTAATCTCAGCTACTGGAGAAGCTGAGGCAGGAGAATCACTTGAACCCAGGAGGCAGAGGTTGCAGTGAACCGAGACAGCACCACTGCACTCCAGCCTGGGTGACAAGAGCAAGACTCCATCTCAAAAAAAAAAAAAAAAAAAAAACCTAGGAGTATTTTTTAAGAAATAGCAAGAAAATCGTCTTTCAGTGATTATCATACTCTAAGATAAGTCACCTCTTAACACTGGCTTTTTAAAATTTTTTGTTGTTTTAAAATTGTAATTTTCCAGGTATTTTTGCCAAGTGCACTATAAATAATTAATATATTTCAATTTACACATAAATCCAAACTGAATGACTGAGCTCTAAATTATTTTCAAGGCTCTGTGGAAAGGACAGAAAAGTACAAGATTTAGGCCTATTACATATTAGGAAAAACATGGATAAAATCACAGTAAGTTTTTTATATACTCTTACGGAGTAAATTCTGAACTTCTAGCAGTTATACAAATAGATCCCAGTTTTTTTTGTTTTTTTTGTTTTTTTGTTTTTTTTTTTTTTTGAGACAGGGTCTGGCTCTGTCTCCCAGGTTGGAGTGCAGTGGCGGGATCTGGGCTCACTGCAACCTCCACCTCCCGGGCTCAGGTGATCCTTCCACCTCAGCCTCCTGAATACCTGGGACCACAGGCACACACCACCACATCTAGCTGACTTTTTTGTATTTTTAATAGAGACGGGGTTTCACCATGTTGGCCAGGCTGGTCTCAAACTCCTGGACTCAAGCAATACACTTGCCTCAGCCTCCTGAAGTGCAGGGATTACAGGTGTGAGCCACCATGCCCGGCCAAGAATGTTTTGATATTTTACTGAAATTTTGTTTTTCTTTATAAAATATTTTATTTTGGGTGTTATTGATAATAAAGGAACCACAGTTACTGGAATCCACCATTGGCAAGTAACCTCCTAACAATCCTTTGTAGTTAGTTAATAGCTTAAATTAGTAGAGTTTTGAGGAGTTTATTAATGCTCTCATTTCTTTTACTGGTTAAAATAATTCACTTTTTGCTATCTCAAAATTACAGAAATATGTGGAGTATATCTAAAACTTATAGAAGAACATGAAGTTATATATACCTTTCAAGTTTTAAAAGAATAAAATTGACCAGGCACGGTGGCTCACGCCTGTAATCCCAGCACTTTGGGAGACCGAGGCAAGTGGATCACGAGATCAGGAGTTCGAGACCAGTCTGGCCACTATGGTGAAACCCCTTCCCTACTAAACATACAAAAATCAGCCGGGCATGGTGGTGCACGCCTATAGTCCCAGCTAGTCAGGAGACTGAGGTAGAAGAATTGCTTGAACCTGGGAGGCGAAGGTTGCAGTGAGCCGAGATCGTGCCACTGCACTCCAGCCTGAGCGACAGAGCGAGACTCCGTCTCGCGCGCACACACACACACACACACAAGAATAAAATCATGGAGCAAATATGCTTAATTTGCTTAATAAATAAATATATAATAATTATCTGAGCCCACAAATAGATTTCCATGTAAATGTGGACATTTAACTTCTGGCTCTATGTTAATATTTGTATTCCTAAAATTGTACATTACTGGAGATCCAACTAAATATATTTTTAAAAGTTTACAACTTCACAATCAGATGCTGCTGCTTTATTCACATCAGACTTCTAGTCAGAAAATCCTAAGGTTTAAATAACAAAACTTATTATATTCCCAAACAATTACATACACTACAAATTGTATGAATCATACCAAAATGATAATAATGACTTACCTGACTGGATTGCTGGTTAAAGAAACCCTGAGGGATTCTAGACAATTAAGAAGTTTCTCATCTGATATACCCGATCGTAATTCATGAACATATTCTTGTGAAGACAGGGTGCATTCATGTTTGCTGTTTTTCAGCCCACCCTAAAAAATAAACAAAGATACCATTTTAGACAATGTTTTAAAAAAATTTTTTTAAGTAAAATAATGCACAGAATATTTATTTTGTTATATAAAAATGTGTGCAGAGTGCTACATGCTTAAAAATTCTTGATCACAGAATTGATGTGTTAAAATTGTGTTGTATATATCTCAACATTTTCCTCGACCTCATTTAAAAAAAAATTACAGTGCTGGTGCTCATGACCTGAATAGAATATGAACTTGAATTACACAAAGTGTCATTGACAGGGGTGCTTAAATTTACAATTCAGGCATTAGAATTAACATTAGCTAGTCCTCCTTAACCCAGAGGATAAGCATTCAAAAATCATCTTATTAATTTTCTTAGTTAAGATATTTATATTCGATTCCACAAAATCCGGCAAATAAAATTTAATATATACCATTATACATAACCCACATCTATTGAAAGATATCAGAGTTATCAGCCTTTCTAAAAAAATAAGTGAAAATAGTTATTAAAATGTAAAACAATATAGTCTCCAATTAGCATGTTAATTAATCAAATCAGTTGAAAGCATTCACCAGTTCCCAATTATTCCTTTCTGTTACTCTCAGGTTGTAGATTAATCTTAAAAAGTCATTAAATACATTTATCTGATAGTAACTAGTTTTTAACTTAATTTTCAATATACACGGAGTTATTTCTAGAACTCATCTCATCACTGCTCCTTAACTTCATCATCTTGCTATAACTATATAAGTAGTTCAGGGAAAAGGCTGGGAGGAAAACATTGTCAACACATTCACTATACTAATACCTCATAGTTTCACATTCTAGATGTACCTAATCATAATTGCCCCTTTCCTACACTGTAAATGTATATCCCTGAATTAAGACTCCAAGCTTGAGTCCCATTTTACAGGTTCATACAAATTACACTCAGTTTCTGCTAAACATCTAAGGATACTTACCATAAAATAACATCATTAGGATATGATATATCATCATAAGAAATACAATATTATAAGGAGATTATAAGGAAAGGAATTTTTCCCCATTGGGTAGAGGTATTATCATTAGAGGATACGACATTTAAAATTAAAAAAACAACGTTAATAATGAGAAATGAGTTCCCTATGGTTTCACACTATTTGGGTTTTGATTGAGAATGCCTCCTCAATGTAGAAAGTGTTAATCATTCTTAATTTCTGAATTTTAAAAATCCCATTAAATGCTAAATTTTTTAAGTCTGATAAAGGCTTATAACATATAGGGGAACTCTATTCCCTTAGAGCTGTGGCACTATTATCATTATTATAGCACTTAAAATATTGTGGTAGAGGTCATTATTTGTGTCTGTCTCACTTCTACATTGGGAACTCCATCTATGCCACATAACTAACACAGGTCATGAATTTAGTGAGCCTCAATAAAAGTGTGTTATTATTGAACTTCTCCATAATAACTGCAGAACAAGGAATAAGATTTCATACTTTTAGCTCCTATATTTTGTATAATGGCCACTGACTTGGTATTTCTTGCTTCGTTATGAGATACAGTAGATGTTAAAAATATATTGGATGGGCCAGGGATGGTGGCTCACACCTGGAATCTCAGCAACTTGGGAGGCTAAGACACGAGAATAGCTTGAACCCAGGAGGCGGAGGTTGCAGTGAGCTGAGATCCCGCCACAGCACTCCAGCCTGAGCCACGAAGCAAGACTGTCTGCTCCACAAATAAAAAAGTATACTGGATGAATCATCATCACCTAAATGGCACAGTAAGTAAAACCATCACTGAGAGATCATGTCCATATTCCTGTAACTTCCTTATGCATCTGTTATTCCACAAGGAATAACAGCAAGTAAATATTTAAAGCATAATTTTGCAAATTAAAATTATAGTTTTATTTTTGCTCGGCCAACTCACTTTCTACAGCAATACAAAGTTCATCAGTAACAAGGGATCTATTTACTACATATGCCAGTCTGAAAACTACTAGTAAAAGGAATTAAAGTTTTCAAGTCTGTAGTCACACACCACTTTCATATAATCCTCAAAGTTATTTTTAAATTAATATATAAAAAGGCACCACTAATCTTCCCCTAGGGGATTGTATATGGAATTTAACCCTGTTGAGTGACCTTTGTATTTTGCAGTTTTCTCTGCCTTGAAAACCCTTACCCCAACCTCTCTATTGCTGGCTCCCATCATTTTAATCTCAGCCCCATAGTCTTCTCCCCACCCCACATTCTAATTATCATCGCAACACCATTTTAAATATCATTTACGATATTACCTCTATGAAAATTTATTTTTGTAATTCAGTTGTTTACTGTCTTCCGCACTAAAACACAAGCTCTTATAAGACAGGATTCTTGCCTGCCTTGTTCACCACTGTATCCTCAGATCTTAAGACAGTGTTTAAGTAAGCACTCAATACATATTTCCTGGATGGATGGATGGATGGATGGATGGATGGATGGATGGATGGATGGAGAATAAACAAAAGGGTGGATGAGTGATGAGTTTCAACTTGTTGAAGATTCTAAGCTTAGTTTTGCTTCAGAATATTATAGTTCTGAGACTTTCAGTTATAATATATTCAAAGATGCTGAATATAGAACAGGTAAACTGAGACACTGTATTGCATGCTGAGGACAGCTCAGAGGTATTTCATATTGGGCATCTCATGGACACAGAACAATCTACTCAGAAAATGTTGGTTCCCTTTTTCTAATTGATTCCCTACAGGATTAGTCTAATTGGAACATATGGTCATGGCCGAGGTACTCCTTATAGACAAGTGAGCCAGCCCATCACTTTGTGGCTCACTCCCACCGAAGTCTTAGAAACAAGCTTAAATTATATAATTTAGGATCCTCTCTGGTTATAAAGAATGGAAGCAAACAATCTACTGGAGCATGACAGAGAATATACAACTTTATAGAACAGACGCCTTTTACCAAGCTTAGAAAGACTTTGAGATTTTAACGTAAGTTCATATTTGAAAGTTATAAAAATATGATAGCAAGCTAAGGCTGGACTGGCCCTTAAAGATCAGTTCTTCTGATACCCTCATTACAAAAATGAGGAATCCAAGTAATTGCCTAAGTTCACATAATTAGTAAGAGTATGAGACTAAAACAAATATTCTGGTCCTTGGATAGCTCCTTTCTCTACTATATACTACTTTTTCTCAATTTTGAATAAAATGTTAAAGCAACAAATATTTAATTCTGAAATCTCTATTACAAAATGTCAAGGTGTCAAAGTACCTTCAGCATAATCAATATGGTGCAAGATAATATTTTAAAAATCACCTAAAAACAAAATAGTGCAATACATTAGTTCTCATAATACTTAATAGGGCTGTAATACAAGAATGGCTTATTAACATCCTGTTCTGATACTCAACAAAGGAAACAACTAGATAATGGATGGGTAATAATGGAAATTTTAATTAGCTGCTCTGTATGAGATTAATGAAAATTACCACTGTGCCCATTTGATCTTTAAAAAATAATGCAGACAAAGTTAGCAATTAGTGTACATCATGCTATTCCAAACCTAGGTGAACAAAGAGCTTTCCTAATTTGAAGCCATTCCTTAATTTGAAAATCATTAGGATGGAGATACTAGTCAATGTGACTGTGCTTGTATTATTTTAAGACAGTAAACAAATAATCAAAAGGTAGTTTGAGTCAGTTTAATAGTCACAGATTCCCCTTGCTCTGATATGAAATGGTAAAATCAACAGCAGAGAAGCAATATTCTAAGAAAGAACACTTTTAGTTTGCAGTGGAGATAACCACTTCTGAGTTTAGATGGACTTAGTCTGAGTATGGTCTGTCATTTTTAAATGTAAAAACAGATTTACTTACAATTTGAGAAAAGGCTTTATGGTTCTCAGCTGTAAAGGTATCTTGCTGCAGACACTAGACAGAACTATTGATTGTACACAAGTCTTTTCAGCTACAGCATGCACACAGATAGCAATTACTATCAGGGATGTCATTTTCAAATAGGATGGACAATATTTTCATGAAAACAGTAATTTTGTTAGTGTTATTGACCACGATTTATAAATCCTAATGAAGTCCATTTCTTTGGCTATTTTAATCAAATGAGTTTCTTATCTATCATTGTGTTCTCTGAAAATATAATGCTATAGATTAACATATTTGAGATTATATCTACAGAGGTTCACACTGTTGTTCTTGGAGGCTCCTGCAGCTTTCAAACATAAGAAATCAAAATGCCATTTTCATTATCATCAGTTCCTTGAGTTCAAGGAGGAAAGGGAGACACAAAATACATGCCATATCCAAGTGAATCTATTTATTTATTCTGATAGCTGTATATTTGGTGGAATAGAGAATGCTATATATTGCAGAACCTTTAGATGGCTTCTCTCCATTTTTGTAAGAAAGCCATCTCTTACTGGCAGAGTAATAGAGTTATGTAATTTATGTATCAAAAATATAAAAATATATTAAAATCAATTTATATAATAAAACTTAAAATAATTTAAAATGCAATTTGCACTGAAAATATTTTTTAATGGCACAAAAAAATGTAGGGTAAAAGATACTACATATTACCAATTGAAGTCTACAAGAAAAAAAACTACACAGAAAATTACTGTCATGAGATTAACTTCATATTGTGTCATTTCCCATTGCAGGAAACACTGTTTCTAACTAAGGCATTTTCAGAGGATGAAAATAATAGGCAAAACGAGAGAATATATCCCAAATTATAGGGCAGAGGTGATAAAAGCTTTTCTACAGCAATGTATAAGCATCATAATTCTTCAGATTATATGTGCCATTTTTCCCAAAAGAATTTGAATAAGTTTATTAAAATATGATCAGCTAAAATGTTTCATGAAAGAAAAGTATAAGGTTTTCTATGATGAAATCATTTATTGTTCCCTTATTGAAGCTTTTGTATATTAAATATCAATTAAGCATTTCACCCCCAAATTACAGACTCTTAGACCGTCACAGAACAA